AACGCTCGCCTCCTGACACGCCCGTGATTACCAGGAGCGTGCATGGGGCACGGCTGAGACAGGGATGCGTCCCCGCACACAGGGTCCCCGTGTTCTCTGGTCAGCTCCTCCCACCTCCAGATAACACGGGCTTGACGTCCAGCGTGGCCCGACCACGTCGCATCTCAACCATCTGGCCACGCGTCTGTGCCGTATCATAGGAGAGGATTTCCCAGCTTCCGCACCATCAGCATTAGGGGCTGGAGACTTCTTTGTTGGAGGTGGGGGTGCTGTCCCGGGCACTGTGTGGGCACCCCTCCCCCAGCGGTCACCACCAGAAATGTCTGCACTGGCTGCAGGAGCCTCCATGGTGAGCACCCCTGCGACAGACCTGAGGCACGGAAGTGTCGGGCTGGGCCGGCCTCTCAAGGCCGTCACTGTGTGCGGTCAGTGTTTCTGCCCCACTTCTGCCCGGTCATCACAGGCCCATCCCTAATCCACACCCATGGTTGCCATTTATTAAGACATACCATGTGCCGGGCACAGGGCTAAGAATTTCACCCACGTAGCTCACTGAATGCTCACAACCACTGGGAGTAGGAACTATCATTGGCTTTATTTTACAGAAGAGAAAACAGAACAGAGAGGTTAAGCAACCTGCCCAAGCACACACAGCTGGCAAATGGTGGATCCCCATGGGCCTCAAGTTTCTGCAACTTTGCAAAGCCCTTGGCTGTCTCACGAACCCCTCCCAATACCCCACCAGTGAAGCAAGGCTGATGTGAGTGCCATTTACAGACGGGGAACTTGAGGTCTATGGAGAATCAGCCTCCCTGCGGTCATGTGATCAGGAGGCCACAGAGAAGGGAGTAGACCCGTCAGTGCCCCCCAGTACCCAGCCCTGTGCCTTGCCCAGCCCCTCTGTAAATCCCATGTCACACAGGTCTCCCATTCCTCATAGCCTGGGGGGGCGGGGTGCAAGCAGAGTGCATCAGAGAACTGTCCACTGTCCCCCACCCCCTGGCAGACTGTCCACTGTCCCCCACCCCCTGGCAGACTGCCCACTGTCCCCCACCCCCCGGCAGACTGTCCACTGTCCCCCACCCCATGGCAGGCTGCCCACTGTCCCCTACCCCCTGGCAGGCTGTCCACTGTGCCCCACCCCCTGGCAGACTGTCCACTGGCCCCCACCCCATGGCAGGCTGCCCACTCTCCCCTACCCCCTGGCAGGCTGTCCACTGTGCCCCACCCCCTGGCAGACTGTCCACTGGCCCCCACCCCATGGCAGGCTGCCCACTGTCCCCTACCCCTTGGAAGGCTGTCCACTGGCCCCCACCCCCTGGCAGACTGCCCACTGTGCCCCACCCCCTGGCAGACTGTCCACTGTCCCCCACCCCCTGGCAGACTGTCCACTGTCCCCCACCCCCTGGCAGACTGTCCACTGTCCCCCACCCCCTGGCAGACTGCCCACTGTCCCCCACCCCCTGGCAGACTGTCCACTGTCCCCCACCCCTGGCAGACTGTCCACTGTCCCCTACCCCCTGGCAGGCTGTCCACTGTCTCCCACTCCCCGGCAGGCTGTCCACTGCCCCCCACCCCCTGGCAGACTGTCCACTGTCCCCCACCCCCTGGCAGGCTGTCCACTGTCCCCCACCCCCCGGCAGGCTGTCCACTGTCCCCCACCCCCTGGCAGACTGCCCACTGTCCCCCACCCCCTGGCAGACTGTCCACTGTCCCCCACCCCTGGCAGACTGTCCACTGTCCCCTACCCCCTGGCAGGCTGTCCACTGTCTCCCACTCCCCGGCAGGCTGTCCACTGCCCCCCACCCCCTGGCAGACTGTCCACTGTCCCCCACCCCCTGGCAGGCTGTCCACTGTCCCCCACCCCCCGGCAGGCTGTCCACTGTCCCCCACCCCTGGCAGGCTGTCCACTGGCCCCACCCCTGGCAGACTGCTGCAGGCCAGCGCCGCGCTGACAGCAAGCTGGAGGGCCCAGCCGGAGCCGGCGCCTGGGAGACGGGGGTTGGGTCTGGCAGGTGTGAGCCCAGCTCCCTGGCACAGTGACCACACAGCCGGCCCCGGGTGTCTCTGGTCCTTGGGCTCCAAGCCTGCGAAATGGGGTGAGAATCCCCACTTCTTTGGCTCAAAGAGAGCGGCTAAGTCTGCACCTTGTAAGGTGGTCAGAGTCATTGCCTCGTCTGGGGGTCACAGACTCAGATGTCTGCAGGGACCGGCAGGGGACGCAGATGGGTGGGCAGGGCTGGGTGGGGCTGTGGTAACACTGGCACCTGGGCCTGTCTCAGGGGGAGGGTCAGCCCAGTCTACCAGGTCAGTCATTTATTAAACAAACCTGGCCCTGGCCGGTGTGGCTCAGCGTTTGGAGCGTCAGCCTGTGGACCAGAGTCGCGGGTTTGATTCCAGCCAAGGGCATGTACCTCGGTTGCAGTTTGTCCCCAGCCCTGGTCGGGGTCATGCGGGAGGCAGCCAGTCCATGTGCCTCTCTCACATCAATGTTTCTCTCTCTCTCTCTCTTCCCCTCTAAGCATAAATGGAAAAGATATCCTCGGGTGAGGATTAAAAAAAATAAATAAAACAAACCTGAACTCTGAATTTTTTCAGTGACATGCCCTGATTTCTCAAACACTTGGCAGGCTGAACAGAAGACGTCTGTAAGCCAAAGGTCACTCGCCTGTTTGCAGCCCCCTGTTGGGTCCTGTTCACTGACCAGTCAAAGCGCAGACTGAAGGGCAGAGCCAGCCCCAGGTCGTGGGCCACAGCCAAGCAAGCAGGGCCAGGGGCCTCGTCCGAGGTTTCATATGCCCTCACTGCCCTCCAGCCCGAGCCTGTCCCTGGGAAGGGAGCCAGGGGCCTCCCGGGGCCCGGCATGCACAGGAAGGACACTGCAGGACCAACGGGCTGCGGGCTGCACACGTGTCCATCTCGGCCCCGCCACAGCACATCCATCCTGTGGCCTACTTGAGACGTCTGCTTGGGGTGCCCCGGAAAACCAGGGCGGATGTGTCCTGAGGCAGATCCGCGCGGCCGAGGCGGGGGCCCGTGACAGCTCCGTGGGACGTGCACCAGCACCGGGGCGCCCTTCTCTCTCATGAGATGGTACATATTTTAAACGGCCCTTGAGAAGGCAGTGTCACTGGGTATTAGAATACCAGAAAGGAGGACAGAGTAAGAAAGACAGTGGCCCTTCTCTACGGGAACCACACTGCACCACGTGGATTTCCCTCAGGTGTCTCCGAGCCTGAGCCGAACGGTTCGCGGTGCGTTCAAACCTGTGTCGACACTCGGGGCGTCCTCGGCCTTCGGGGGTGGCTGCTGCCTGAGCCCTACTTCTCAGACCTCTCTCCTGGAACCCCACTGTGCTGTCGTGGGCTGGGGTCAGGAGAGCCGGGTTCCAGGCCGGCTGGACTAGAGCAAGCCTCCTGCCCCTCTCTCTGCCTCAGTTTGTCTTGAGATTGGCCTAAGGGACTCCCAGCTGGGAGGGCCCACTGAGTCAGAGGCTGTGATGGGCGTTCCGGGCCTAAGCAGGGCCATGTGGGCTCCGTCCAATCAGCGTTTCTTTTTAAATTTGTCTCCAACTGATTTCACATAAATTGGGATTTCCCGCTTCTCTTACAAAATCAGAAGCTCCGCCACACAGGCTGGCCTCCACTGACCTCCACTGACCTCCGCTGACCTCTGCATGCGGCTGCACCGGCTGAAGCCGGGCACCGAGGCGGGCGCCCTCCACTCCGCACCCCACGCGGCCCTCAGCCAGCTCCCTCCTCCGTGATCTGCTTGAACTTGAGACCCCTGATTTAATGCATTAGGTATGAAAAGTCTTTGGGGGAAATATGCAGATTCCAGGCCTCACCCCCATTAATGAGATTTCCGGGTCCCCCGCTACTTTGCATTGACCATGGCAGGGCTCTCGGGCTCCCTGGGCTTCGGTCTCCTCCCAGCGCAGGGGCCTCTGCGGGCACGTCCAGCCCGAGGCTGGACACGGCTGCGGCTTTGCCGTCGGCAGCCTGACTGCCGAGGTCCTGCCACAGCATCTGGGAGGGAGGGAGGAGCCGTCCACAGCGACACGGTTCGTGGATTCGTCGCCGACTCTACGTGGCAACAGCGGGGGGCGGAGGCCATGAGAGGACGTGCACAGTGCTGCCCCAGGGTCCGCTCTCTCCCTTCAAAACCACGGGCACATAACACATTTCCACAAACACGAAGATGAACGGAATTACCCAAATCCTGCAACGATATTGTAAAACGAATACAGCCAGACACAGAGAACTGTGTGTATGTGGTTCCACGCATGCAGGCTGCTGTTTACCCGTGGAGGCAGGCGGTGACCAGCGGGGGCCACGGGGCCCCTGGGCCAGTGGTCACACAGAAGCCTTCAATAGCGATTCTGCACGTCTGCATACTTCATGCTTTCCTTCCACACAAGTTAAGAACCAGCCCTGACCATTCACTCCCTCTCTGTTCAAGCGCCTTTGTTTTTCTTCTGCTCCCTCTTCTTCCCAGTTTAAGCCAGCAGGTGAGCTCCCAGGTCCTGTCTGATCTGGCCTCTGCCCACCTCTCCAGCATCATGTCTCACGAGCCATCCTGGCCTTCTGTTGCTCCTCAAGCATGCATACTTCCATCCTGCCACAGGGCCTTTGCACGTGCTCATCCAGCTGGTCCAGAGCCCTGTTGACGCCTACTTACTCTTGAGCCCCAAGCTCAAGTGTGGCCCAGCCACCACCCCATCTAGTCCTGTCACAGGCTTTCATAGCTTTACATTCCCTTCCTCAACTTGTTCGTCGTCACTTGTCATCATGGCCTCATAGAGTCATTGTTTGACTGCTGAGAATGACCTCACAATCACCCCCTAGACCTCCCACCCTTTTAAGGCCTAACCTGCCCTTTCTGTCCACACCTCGAGACCACCCCACACCTGAGTCATCCAGGCCAGCACCTAGAGGCAGGGGTCCCAGTGCGCAGTGAGCGTCCGCGCCTTCTCGGCCAGGCACCGCCCAGACTCCACGATGTCAGAGAAGCCGGAGGACCCGAAGGATTTCCTGCCCACGGAGAGGAAGTCCACGTGGAGGACGGCCGAGGAGAGGCGCATGTCCGACCTCACGCGGGTGCTGGAGTGGCTGGAGCGGAGGCAGGGGAAGAAGCAGCAGGCGCCCCAGGTGTGCGCCCTCAGGGAGGCTCGGTGCAAGGCTGTGGGGGCGCGGGAGACACTGAACTCCTCCCCCTGAGCTCCACTAGGGGGCGGGGGGCAGGGAGGGCCTATGCCCTGGGGGGAACTAGCGGAGAGGTGCTGGGGGCGTCAGGGAGGCCGCCTGTCTGCGGGGTCGGGCGCGGAGTCCCTAGCTGCCACTCATGTGGCCGGGCTCTACCCCCCCACAGAGGTCGGAGGTGGGGCGCTGTGTTCCTGGGTGAAGACATCTCAAGGGCATGGCTCCCAAGTCCTGGAGCAAAGCATTCCTGGCGGTGGAACTGGCAAGAGGCCAGGGGGTGATTCCTAGGTCCAGGGCAGAGAGAGATGTGCACGCGAGGTCTCTAAAGGAGGTGCTGGGAGAAGGAAGGGGTGCAGAGCGAGGGAGGGGTGCCAGAGCGAGGGGGGGTGCCAGAGTTAGGAAGGGGTGCAGAGCGAGGGAGGGGTGCAGAGCGAGGGGGGGTACCAGAGCGAGGGAGGGGTGCAGAGCGAGGGGGGGTGCCAGAGCGAGGGAGGGGTGCAGAGCGAGGGGGGGTGCCAGAGCGAGGGAGGGGTGCCAGAGCGAGGGAGGGGTGCAGAGCGAGTGGGGGTGCAGAGCGAGTGGGGGTGCCAGAGCGAGGGAGGGGTGCAGAGCGAGGGAGGGGTGCAGAGCGAGGGAGGGGAGCCAGAGCGAGAGTGAGGAAGGGGTGTCAGAGCGAGGGAGGGGTGCAGAACGAGGGAGGGGTGCAGAGCGAGGGAGGGGTGCAGAGCGAGGGAGGGGTGCAGAGCGAGGGAGGGGAGCCAGAGCGAGAGTGAGGAAGGGGTGCCAGAGCGAGGGAGGGGTGCAGAGCGAGGGAGGGGTGCAGAGCGAGGGAGGGGAGCCAGAGCGAGAGTGAGGAAGGGGTGCCAGAGCGAGGGAGGGGTGCAGAGCGAGGGGGGGTGCCAGAGCGAGGAAGACACTGTCTCGCTCAGTCGAGGTGAGGGGCACATTGAGGCCACCTGGTGTGTGTTTGAGAAGGTCTGAGGGGCAGCAGCTTCTGGGGTCTCCCTGTTGGCAGGCTGGCGTCCCTCCCACTGTCCCCAGACACCTCTGTCCTCCCTCCCTCCAGGGTCAAGGAGCATTGTCCCTGCCACTGCCCCCTGCAGCCCCCGCCGACACACCTCTTCCTTTCTGAGAGGCCTCAGATCCGGTTCTCTCCAGCCTGTCAGCTCAGGCACCGAAACAGAGCAGCACAGACTGGGTGGCTGGCCACCAGAAGTCCCCTCCCCACAGTACCCGGCTTGGGAGCCCCAGATAAGGCCGCGGCAGATTTGGGGTCTACCGAGAGCCCCTTCCGGGCCCACAGGTAGCCTCTTGCAGTGTCCACAGGGGGCAGAGGGTGGGAGAGCGGCCTTCTAAGGGCACTGACCCCATTCAGGGGGACTCCACCCTTACACCCAGTCACCCCCACAGGTCCCACCTCTGATACCGTCATATTGGGAGTTAGGATCTCAACACATGATTTGGGGGGGACCCAAGCATTCATCCAGTCTTCCTCAGTTTCCCCCTTCGCCCCAGTGCCCCACGGTTCCCCAGGGCCCGTCATCTATGGAAATCAAATCGTGCCCTTGGAAAGTGGTCTCCCCTGGGGAGGGTTCCGCCTGCCCTTGACGCCCCAGTCCCCAGAGAAGGAGGGGTGGGAGCCGGCACCCCTGATGGCGATTTGGGGCACCGCCTGCGCTGGGCATGGCACTTACCTGGTCAGCCCCTCCCGGCCCGGCCGAAGGATGAGGCGCAATTCGCTTGAGCGCATCAGACTGACCCAGTTCCCAAGCCCACGGGCTCTGTCAGGCTCCCGGCCCCTCCCGGCTCTCCCCACTCGCGGCCCGGAAGCACCTGTGCGCTCACCGGCTCCCAGTCCTTCGGTCCGCAGGCCCGGCGACCACCTGCCCCGGGGCCGGACGCGGAGGCCTGGTTGCGGCCCACTCGGGCCCGGCCCGCGCTCCGTACAGATGGCACTTGTCTCTGGCGGACGCTGGGTGCCGTGTCTTCTCACGAAGACGACGGTCTAGTCACCCGGGCACAGCTTTGCCTTCTATGTAGCTTTGTTGGAAATAATGCCTGGCCCCGCAACGGAGGCTCGGCGCACCCACGGGGCGGTTCGTGTTCTCACGATGACCCTGGGAGCTGGGTCCTGCCGCTGGCCCATCAGACAAGGAAACTAAGCCGCAGAGACAGCAGTCACTTGCCCAGGCTGCTCGGCCACTAACCAAGGACAGGGTGCCCAGCCAGGCATCTGACCCGGTGGGCTCGGCCACTGACCCCCCACCGCCACAGAGGCTCACCCCGCGAGGAGGCCCAGTCGGCGTGGCTGCCCCACCCCTCACCGGTGGGGCTGGTGCTCACCTGCGCTTCTCCGCTGCCTGCCCAGCGGGCGCGGGGGGCCGGGCACGGGCACAGGAGCCCCTCCAGGCGCTGGCGCTCAGCCAGGGGGAAGGGACTGTGGTTACAGCTCTCAGAGGGACAGAACGGGGTGGGAGGTGAGGGCAGGAGGGGTTGGGGACAGAGAGTCCTGCTGCTCTGGCTGACAAGGCAGCCAGCTGTGGCCCCCGAGACGTCACAGCTAGAAAGGCTTCTGGGGGGCCAGGGAGTGGGGCCCTTACATGGAGGGTGGTAGGAATTCTGAAGTGAAGGACAACCTGCCCGGGGGGGGGGGGTGACACAGACCCCAGGCATGTGGGAGGCAGGGGACGGGTGGGGGGGCAGGAGTGCCAGATGGGGGCTAAAGTTCGGGGTGCAGGGGAGGGGCAGCCCGTCACCAAGGAGCTGCCCCTCTGTGGGGCGCAGGGCATTCTGTGGCCATGGTGGGGGTCACAGTTCTCTCTGCCCTTTCAGAAACAGACCATGCCAGTAGCACCCCCTAAAGCAACTGTGAAGGAGAAAAAGAAAGTTAAAATCACCCCGAAACAGGCAACAAAAGACACCCGACGGGTGTCATTCTCTGAGCAGGTAACAGCCTCTCCCACCTACCCCCACCGGGCTCCCCGCCTTGAGGAAGGGTACCCACTCTGCTCCCACACAGAGTCGGGCTGTGTTTTTAAACAAATAATTTAAGGCTCTGAAATCCACTCTGCCTCACACTAACCCACATGAAATCAGCCCGCCCCATCCAGCCAGCCGCACCTGCCAGGCGGTCTCCCCCGGGGGACACTGCGCTCCTCCAACCGCTTCCCCGCACCGTGTGGGAACGCCGGCCGAGAGATGAGAGCACCCAGACTAAGTGCCCTGGTGTGGTTTCCACGGACACGGGGCCGCAGGAACGAGGAGTTTGGTGAACAGGCACCAACCTGTCCACGCCCCAGAGCCGGTCTCTGCTTTGGCCCCTTTGCCCGCCGTTCGGAGAATCCTTGGCTCCTGTGGGGGTGGAGGAAGGCAAGCCAGGGCCTGTTCCCCAGCCCGTAACTTCTCTCCTTTTCCCTCCAAGGCCTCAAAGCTGCCCTCCAGGAAGGAGGGGGACCCCGTCAGGTACCGAAGGCTGTACAGTATGGACACCAAGGGGAAGCGCCTGAGCATGGTCCCCGCCAACTACAGCAAGGACGGCCTCATGAAGTCCGGTAAGAGGTGCTGGTCACGTTCCCGGACTCTGTGCAGGAAATCTCACAAGCCCACAGGAAGAACAGTTTACTTACCAAGAACAAAGACTCAGAGTAGCATCAACCTGGAAATGAGAAGCGTACAGTGTACGAGAGTAAGACCTGCAGCCCCCAGTCCGGTCCCGGTGCCGGCAGGTCAGTCGGCTCAGTGAGGGATACGGGCAGATTTCGGAACCTGCCGGGACTTTCTCAGCCACGCGCCCCTTCGCCTGCAGGAAATGCCCCAGGAGGGAGCTGAGGGGACAACGCGTCTAAAAGCGAAATCTGGAAAACCAGGTGATGCAGAAAGATTGAAAACCAAACAAGGATAAGGACAGAAATAAGAAATACAAACAGACGAGGTTAAATGAAGGCTAAAATCAACACACAGACGAAAAGGGATACTTTGTTAAAGAGAAGAAGTAACAAGCCTTAAAACCTACACCAAAAAGTATAGTAACTAAATAGATCAACATTTAAAAATGGACAGAGAACCTGATAAAAATACAGTTGTAGCGGGGGACTCCTTTATTGAATTTATGAGGGTGCCACTGGTTAATAATATTCCGTAGGTTTCGGATGGACAGTCCTGGAATACGTCATCTGTCTGTGGTACTGTGCCGGGGGCTTGAATACGCCTCCTTCAGAGCCAAGCAGACCGACTAGACGGTAACAGAAGTTCAGAGACTGCTCCAGCCACGCAACGAGCCAACCACGACTTCAGAGATGAGTCAAGAACACACGCGTTTATACAGCCAAACAATACTCACAAAAGTCATCTGTGTGCTCATCACAAAAGAACACTAACAGCCCTGACCGGTGTGGCTCAGCGGTTAGCATCGGCCTGCGGTCCAGAGAGACCCGGATTCAGTGTCTGCTAAGGGCACGTACTTCGGTTGCAGTTTGTCCCTGGCCCCGGTTGGGGTCCTGTGTGTGGCAGCCACTCGATGTGTCCCTCTCACATCGATGTTTCTCTCTCTCTCTCCCTCTCACTCTATCTGAAGATGAATACAAGTGTCCTTGGGTGAGGATAAAAAAATAAAAAAAGAACACTAACATTCAAAAGAGTAAAGAATGCCCTGGCTGGTTTTGCTCAGTGGTTAGAGCATTGGCCCATGGACTGAAGGGTTGCAGGTTCCATCCCTGGCCCCGGTCAGGGCATGTGTGGGAGGCAATCAATTGATGTGTCTTTCTCATATCGATGTCTTTCTCTCTAAAAATCAATGGAAAAACTCTCCTCAGGTGAGGACTAACAACAACAGCAGCAAAAAAAGGCAAAGATTTTAGGGCCACCTACAGTATCCTAAATCAATAATTTAAAAATAATTAAAATTAGAAGATTCCCCAACTTAACAGTTGGAAATTAAGAAATACATTCCAGCCCTGGCCAGTTTGGCTCAGCAGTTAGAGCGTCAGCCTGCGGTCCGGAGAGACCCGGGTTCGGTTTCCGCTAAGGGCACGTACTTCGGTTGCAGTTTGTCCCCGGCCCTGGTTGGTCGTGCGGGTGGCAGCCACTCGATGTGTCCCTTCACATCGATGTTTCTCTCTCTCTCTCCCTTCCTCTCTCTCCCTCCCACTCTATCTGTACAAAAAATGGAGAAATATCCTCGGGTGAGGATAAAAAAAAAAAAAAAAAAAAAAAAGAAATACATTCCACCCTGGCTGGTTAGGCTCAGTGGTTAGAGCATCATCCCACGTACCAAAGAGTCTCGGGTTTGATTCCCGTTAAGGGTACGTACCTCAGTTGCGGTTCATTCCCGGCCCTGGTCAGGATTGTGCAGGAGACAACTAATCAGTGTGTCTCTCTCACGTCGATGTATCTCTCCCTCTCTCTCTCTCCCTCCTTCCCACTCTATCTGAAAGTCAATGGGAAAATATCTTCAGGTGAGCATTAAAAAGAAAAAAATTTTAAAAAGAAATTTATTCTGCCCTGGCCGGTTTGGCTCAGCGGTTAGAGCATTGGCCTGCGGTCCGGAGAGACCCGGGTTCAGTTCCCGCGAAGGGCATGTACCTCGGTTGCAGTTTGTCTCCGGTCCTGTTTGGGTTCTGCGGTGGCAGCCACTCGACGTGTTTCTTTCCCGTTGATGTTTCTCTCTCTCTCTTCCTCTCTCTCCCTCCTGCTCTATCTGAACAAAAAAATGGGAAAATGTCCTCGGGTGAGGATAAAAAAAATAAAATAAAATAAAAAGAAATTTATTCCTAAATACTCTTCTATCAAAGGGGGGGGGGGAATGAAAATAAGCCTGTTTTATACCAAAATCTATAGGATGAAGGCAAATCTATGATAAGGAGAAAATTGAGAGTAAGATCTGATAGCAACGGTTCTTGTCTTCATAAAACAAAAATGGCAAAGAAAAAAGAAACAATACTTTTATTAATTTAATAAGATAGAAGAAATAATAGAGAGAGAATGAATACATTAAATACCAGCTGAGATTAACAAAATACATCCAAAGCTAGCTTTTGAAAAAGGCATGTGGCGGCCCGGCCGGTGTGGCTCAGTGGGTGAGCGTCGACCCATACACCAAGAGGTCGCCAGTTCCATTCCCAGTCAGGACACATGCCCAGGTTGTGGACTGATCCCCAGTAGGGGGCGTGCAGGAGTCGGCCAGTCGATGTTCTCTCTCATCAATGTTTCTCTTTCTCTCTCCCTCTTCCTTTCTCTCTAAAATCAATAAAGAAAATAAATAAATAAAACTTATTTTTTTTAAAAAAACGTAGCGAATAATATGACATTATCCTGAGCCTCGTTACAAAGAAGAGTAAAAATATACAAGGTCCTGGATGAGAACGGGCACATAAGCAAAGATAAACACATTAAATGCATCAATCGAATACTACGCGCATCTCTGTACCATACGTTTGGAAATCTGGAAGAAATGGATCATTTCCTCTCATACTGTAAATGATCAACATTGATATAATAAAGAGCAGAAAAAGGCAAACGGAGCAGTTTCTGAAGTGCACATTGAAAGGTGGTTGTCACATTCTCACTAAAAAAGACACCAAGACGCATGGCTTCCCACCGGCGCTCTCCCCTTTACAAAGCGTGCTCGCCTTTTCCTTCAGCAATTGCAGATCCATGAACTATAGACAGTCCTGCCTTGATTTAACAAGCCATCACAATCTCAATATTAAAACATTATGCAGCCCTGGCCGGTTTGGCTCAGCGGTTAGAGCGTCGGCCTGCGGTCCGGAGAGACCCGGGTTCGGTTCCCGCTAAGGGCGCGTACCTCGGTTGCAGTTTGTCCCCGGCCCTGGTCGGTCGTGCGGGTGGCGGCCACTCGATGCGTCCCTTCACGTCGATGTTTCTCTCTCTCTCTCCCTTCCTCTCTCTCCCTCCCACTCTACCTGAACAAAAAATGGAAAAATGTCCTCGGGTGAGGATAAAAAACAAACAACAACAAAAAAAACATTATGCAAAAGGTAGGACAACCTCACGATAATATAGATGCAAAAAATATAAAAACCTGTGGCAAAGATACTCAGCGTATGAAAACCTATCAGCTAGATCCATGCTTGACATGGATAACACACCACGGGCAGGTGGGGCTTACTATAGCAGGTTAGGAATGGCTGGGTTGTCAATATCACTATATCTGATTACGCAATTTAATACATCAGTAAGTTAAAGGAAAAACCATACGATCTTTGATGATAGAAAATCAATAAATAGAACCAAGCAATTATGACTAATAAAAACCCTATGTAAAGTAGGAGTGAAGCTATTAAGTATGTAAGACATACACCAAGAATAGTGGCAAATATCATTCTAAATGATGAAAGGCCAACATTATTTTAACTAAAACCAGGGACAAGACAAGGCCTGACTGCTGTCATCATCATTGACATTGTTTGGGAAAATCTATCAAAGGATACATCTAAAGTGTATAGTTTTTACAAGTATTAGAAGGAAAATATTTTCATTTTTCCTGATATGATTGCATATCAGCAAAACTCAAGACATTCTAGTTGGGAATCAATAAAATTTGGTGTGCCCGTTGGTGTGGGAAAAGAAATATCTTCTAAAAGAAGAGTCTTTTCTCTACGTGAGTCACACCAGCTGGAGATGGAAACAGGAAGAAAATATTCCATTCTCATAAGTAAAAATCTGTAAAATGCTTACGAGTAAATCTGACAAAAAGGAAAAAAAAAAAAGGTCTCCAAGCTCTAGCTCCAATATTATTTCAATCAGTACAATTCCCATATTTGGGCAAAATCAGACACTTACTAGTTCGTGTATTTCTATCTTTAACTTTCAGCTGTTCCTTCTGTCCTCCGCCTGTAATACTCAGCTGAAGCCCGGCCGGTGTGGCTCTGTGGTTGAGCATCGTCCCAGGGACTGAGAGGTCCTGGTTCGATTCCTGGTCCAGGCGCATGCCCGGGTTGTGGCTTGGTCCCCAGTAGGGGGCGTGCAGGAGGCAGCCCATCCATGTTTCTCTCTCACATCCATGTTTCTATCTTTCTCTCCCTTCCTCTCTTTCTAAAAAAAAAGTTAATAAAAACATATTTAAAAAAAAAACAACAACAGCTCAAAGTAGTTCTCCTCTGATGTTTTCCTGTAACCCTTCTGGGCTTAAGTTCCCTTTTAGGTGAAGTCTATCTGGGGAAGGAGAGAAGGGAAAATTGAGAAGGAGCATGAAGGAAAGAAGGAAAAGAAAGGGAGTTGGGAGTCAGCAGAAAGGAGGGAGGAAAGAGGAGGGTTAAGCACATGCTGGGGGACCTGCCGGAGGATGTGGTCTCCGAGCAGATGCCAGGGAAGCCCGTGCAGTCCTGCTGGCCCCTGCTGCCCACCCTCCCTGTCCCCTGCGCAGGGTCTAACTCCAGGTGACTCCTGTGCATTTCAGAGCTGGACAACAAGGACTCCAACACCCCAGAGCCCGCTCAGCGCTTAATGCCCTACTACCGACAAAGCGTGGCCGACCCCGGCACACAGGACATAGCCTTTGCCGGGCGGAAGTCGACCCTCCTGAGAGACTGGGTGGGCAAGATTCCCGACTCCTCCTACGAGCGCAGGCTGAGGAACCTCTTGGACAAGAACGCGGAGCCCAAGCCGGACTTGGTGAAGGCGCTGAAGCCGGAGGAGGTGCTGAGCTGCCGGTGAGCCTCCCTGTGCGAGGGGCCAGCTGTCCGGGGAGCTCTGCTCGCTGCGGCCCCGGCCAGACGCCTGGGCTGACCCGGAGGTCGGGCGGGGCGGGCTGCTCCGGGGCGGAGGCCTCCCCGGCCAGGGCCCCGAGGCCTGGGTGGGCAGCCCCTGGACGCGCTTTCCACGCTTCCCAAAGGAACCCCGATGCTTCCAAAGGAAGAGTGGCTCTTTAACAGCAGATCCCGAGAGCCCTGGCGCGGGGCCCTGAAGCTGGTGACAGCAGCCACCCTCCGCAGCGCCCACCTGCTCTCCGTTTGGTTCGCAGACTCCGGAAGGGGCCTGAACGGAGACGGGTACTTGCTACTCTCCCTGAGGGGTCTCCCTCCTTGCTTGTTCTTTGTTATCAGACCCTCTGGTGTTCAGCCACACCGAACAGCTTGGCTTGCACCCCAAACCCAAGTACCCTCCCCGGCTCAGTGTTGTCCTTCGCCCTGGAGACGGAACCGACCAGGTTCAGACACTCCCGTCCAGGAGGACAGGGACAACAGCGACGCGGTGTCCTGGTCGAGTTGGCAGGGGCAACCTGACCCGCAGGTCGGAGGTGGTCTCAGGTGCCAGCCTCTGCCCACTCGCGGCCCGGCTGGGAGACCAAGGGGCAGCTCCTGGCTCGGGCTTGTTGCTCTTGAGTTCCATGCCCGTGACCTCGGGTGGATGGGTTCTCACTGACGCTGGCCAACAGCGTGCCCGCCGGGCTCCACGCGGGGAGAAAAGAGATGGGACAGGCCCTCCACCCTCAAGGAAGGGGAAGGGCTATTTGGAGAGACGGCATCTAAGGAGCCACTAGAAAAACGTCCAAGAGAAGGACAAAGCGGCTACCCGAGCCGGTGGAGTGCCAGGGCTGGGCGGCGGGGCCGGTGGGGTCTGAGCTGGCTGCACCAACAGGGAGGCCCCGGCAGACCTCGGAGAAGCGAGGCCGTTCCCGATGGGCAGGAAACCCAGGCTGTACCAATGTGCAGCTCCTCCCCCAGCACCTGGAGCAAAGTAGCCAACCCGCCAGCGGCCCGACGGGGGGCCTGTGTCCTGACACCAAAGCCGGGAGCCAGCTCAGGGCTGACCAGTTCTGTCCTCAGTGCGTCAGGAGTGTGGGGCTTCGGGCTTAGTTCAAATCCACGGCCTGATTTTTTTAATTGTTTGGATATTATTGAAAGAAAACACGGGGCTCTGTTCCTACGGCTTCGCTCAGCCTGTGTGTCCGCTGTCCTGTCTCAGCCTCACTGATGCCCCGGGCGGCACCCAGAGAGGACAGTTTGCAGGCTGGGTGTTCTCCCCACTGGGCAGTTTCGGCCACATTGCCCCTTCTCCCCGATGCCCCCTTAATGCCAGCAGAGCAGTCCTTGAAGGGATAGCCCCCTTACTTGCTTAACCATTCCTCTGTTGATAACCCCAAAATGAACACTTCTATTTACTTAGCTTTTCTGTTCATTTAATTTTTTCCCTTGAGATAAGTTGAGGGCCCGAGTGGGGTTACTGAGTCAAACACAGTGAGCCTGGCTGGTTTGACTCAGTGGTTAGAGCGTCGGCCTATGGACCGACCAGTCTCGGGTTCGATTCCAGGTCAAGGGCACGTACCTGGGTTGCAGGTTTGGCCCCCGACCCCGGTCGGGGCGCGTGTGGGAGAGAACTAATCCATATGTCTTTCTCACCTTGGTGCTTCTCCCTCCCTCCCTCCCTCCCTCCCTCCCTTCCACTGTCTCTAAAGATCGATGGAAAAATATCCTCTGGTGAGGATTAACCAAAAACAAAGATGGTGAGCCTTTATCGGGGGCGGGTGGGGGCGGCAGGCAGGCAGGGCAGTGCTTGGCATACATGTCGCCACACTGAGTCTATTACCAATGAACCCCCCACAAAGCTGGGGTGCCCCACTCTTACAAGAGCACTGTCACCCGGCCCTCTGGGAGGTCCCACAGCGCTGACATGGACACACTCTTTGGTCACCTCGGCTTCCGTGACCGGCCCTCCGCTGACCTCGCTGACCGTGTGTCCCGCAGGTACCTGAGGCTGTCCAAGAACAACATCCGGACTCTGCTCAAGCTGTGCCGAGACGCGGGGCTGGTGGTCGACATCCACCCCCACATGGTCGAGGCGGAGATCGACGCCAAGAAGGTGTTCGCCACGAACCCCACCGTGGCCCTCTAACGCCCCCGGGACCCCCGGTGCCCTCGCCACCAGCTGCCCCCGGCTCACGACGCCAGGCCTGGCCCCTCAGACAGCGGTGACTGGAAAACAGGTTAATCGGCATGGATCACGGTGCTGACGCGGCGTTTGTCCTGATCCCAGTCAGGAGACACTGGGCTGTCCTCCCTCCACACGTCCCGAAGGGCCTCCTGGGGAGGACTCCTCCCTCCACACGTCCCAAAGGGCCTCCCGGGAGGACTCCTCCCCCCACACGTCCCGAAGGGCCTCCCGGGAGGACTCCTCCCCCCACACGTCCCGAAGGGCCTCCCGGGGAGGACTCCTCCCTCCACACGTCCCGAAGGGCCTCCCGGGAGGACTCCTCCCTCCAAACGTCCCGAAGGGCCTCCCGGGGAGGACTCCTCCCTCCAAACGTCCCGAAGGGCCTCCCGGGGAGGACTCCTCCCTCCACACGTCCCGAAGGGCCTCCCGGGAGGACTCCTCCCTCCACACGTCCCGCAGGGCCTCCCGGGAGGACTCCTCCCTCCACACGTCCCGAAGGGCCTCCCGGGAGGACTCCTCCCTCCACACGTCCCGAAGGGCCTCCCGGGGAGGACTCCTCCCTCCACACGTCCCGAAGGGCCTCCCGGGAGGACTCCTCCCTCCACACGTCCCGAAGGGCCTCCCGGGGAGGACTCCTCCCCCCACACGTCCCGCAGGGCCTCCCGGGAGGACTCCTCCCCCCACACGTCCCGCAGGGCCTCCCGGGAGGACTCCTCCCTCCACACGTCCCGAAGGGCCTCCCGGGGAGGACTCCTCCCCCCACACGTCCCGAAGGGCCTCCCGGGGAGGACTCCTCCCTCCAGACGTCCCGAAGGGCCTCCCGGGAGGACTCCTCCCTCCACACGTCCCGAAGGGCCTCCCGGGAGGACTCCTCCCCCCACACGTCCCGCAGGGCCTCCGGGGAGGACTCCTCCCCCCACACGTCCCGAAGGGCCTCCCGGGGAGGACTCCTCCCTCCAGACGTCCCGAAGGGCCTCCCGGGAGGACTCCTCCCCCCACACGTCCCGCAGGGCCTCCCGGGAGGACTCCTCCCTCCACATGTCCCGCAGGGCCTCCCGGGAGGACTCCTCCCTCCAGACGTCCCAAAGGGCCTCCCGGGAGGACTCCTCCCCCCACACGTCCCGCAGGGCCTCCCGGGAGGACTCCTCCCCCCACACGTCCCGCGGGGCCTCCCGGGAGGACTCCTCCCTCCACACGTCCCGAGGGGCCTCCCGGGGAGGACTCCTCCCCCCACACGTCCCGAAGGGCCTCCCGGGAGGACTCCTCCCTCCACACGTCCCGAAGGGCCTCCCGGGAGGACTCCTCCCTCCACACGTCCCGAGGGGCCTCCCGGGAGGACTCCTCCCCCAAAGGGCGTCCCCGGAAGGAAGCCCAGAAGTGAGCAGGATCGCAGGAGGGGACCAGGCTGAGGGGCAGGTCGAGGACACACCCCCAGGCTTGCACACCCTGGGACGTGGCCCTGTGGGGAGCCCCCCTCTTGTGTGTTGGGCAGGGAGCCCATCGGGCAGTGGGGGGCACTTGTCAACACATAAAACCAGGATGACGCGTTGAAAAGCCACAGAGGCGGGGAGCTTGCTGGGGTGCACAGACCTGAGTGACAGGGCTGGGGTCAGGCGTGTTCTCACCTTAGCTCCCGGCAATGCTGTCTGCACTGGGGCGGCCCGGGCCCCCCCTGATGACCGTCAGACATGGCTCCCACCCTGGCGCGCTGCTGGTCAAGGCTACAAGCCCAGGCCCTTCTGGCCCCGCCCACATGTCAGTGAGCGTGAGTCCCCGCTGCCCTGGCTGGCGACCCTTCAGCTCTCCGGCCTTTGCCCCCCGTCTGTAAAAGGGGCCAGCACGAAGCACCTGCTGGGCAGGGGTGCGGGAAGAGGAGAGCCGAGCTTGCCTGTGGACATTTAAACCTCGACGCAGTCTGAGCTGTTCCCGTGGTCCCCCGGGTGGACCCGCCAGACCCCGCTTTCCCCGGAGGGCCCTCAGAACCGGGCCTGTCGCTGGTGTCGAACCCTGTTGAAAAGCAGCTGATAACAACCCCATCTCCCCTCATGCTTGACCCCAAAGGCAGGTGGCCCTGGAGCCCAGGAGCAGGTGACGCGCCAGGGGCGGGGCTGCTGGTGAGCGGGGGAGCGGGCCAGGTGTCACTGCCTCCGGACACCGATTGGCCGGTTTCCCTTCTGCCCTTCATTCCCGCGCCCACCTGAGGCTCCAAAGGGGTGAGCAGCTCTCCTGAGTCATTGCCTTGGGGGCCAGAGTCAAGCTGTGGGGCTTCCGGAACCCCCCAACCCCAGGCCACATGCAACAAGGAGAGTAATTTTAGCAGGAGGTCAGCCCCAGCCCCTGCCAAGTGAGCGCCCGTCTTGAGGGACTGCTCGGTGCTCCCAGAGCCTCGGGGGGACTGGCGTGGGAAGCCCACCTCTCAGACCCCAGGTTCCGCTGCACGGCCGGGCGTCAGGCCTCCTGGGTCCCGTGCGGGCTGAAAGGGGGGTGAATTCAAGGAAGACACTGCCTCACTGCAGCTGCTGGGGCCACATGGGTGCTCCGGGGTTCCAGGGGGCTTGCAAGTGTGGCCCCCCAGGCACAAGGAGCCTCCTGATGTTCTCCTCAGCTTCCTGATGTTCTGGCCACACGAGTCCATGGTGAGCCCCGAGATTCGCAGAGAAGGTCGAGAAAGGAATATTTGCCTGGGGTCCCCAGACAGACACACGTACACAGGTACAGCCCCTGGTTACGACTAACGTGGCCTGTGGCACCGTCGGGAAAAGACCTTTTCAATAAATCCGCTGGTCAGTTAAATATCCACGCGGAAAAGTATCGACCCTTTGCCTCCACCATGTGCAGAAATCAATTCCAGATGGATGCAGATCGTGAGGGCTTTTATTTATTTTTTTTAAATCCTCACCTGAGAATATTTTTCCATTTATCTTCAGATAGAGTGGGAGGGAGAGAGAGAGAGAGAGAGAGAGACATCCATGTGCGAGACATCGATTGGCTGCCTCCCACACGACCCTGACCAGGGCCGGGGACGACCCGCAACCAAGGTACATGCCCTTGACCAGGATCAAACCCGCGACTCTCTGGTCCCCAGGCTGATGCTGTAACTGCTGAGCCAAACCGGCCAGGGTGTGCGAGCTTTTAGAGGAGACAACAGCCCTGGGCGGTTTGTCTCAGCAGTTAGAGCGTTGGCCCCAGGATCGAAGGGTCACAGGTTTGATTCTGGCCAAGGGCACGTACCTGGGTTGCAGGTTTGATCTCCAGCCTGGTCGGGGTCATTCAGGGAGCAAGCAGCTGGGCAATGTGTCTCTCTCACATCAATGTCTCTCTCTCTCTCTCTCCCTCCCTTCCTTCCACTGTGCCTAAAAATCAATGGAAAAATATCCTCGGGTGAAGGTTGACGAAAAAAAAAAAATTTACAAGACAACAACCTCCATGGTGACTGCCGTTGAGAGTGGGGGGCTGTCTACATGGGGGTGCTAAGAGAACGGACTGTGAAAATTCTCATCCCAATAAAAAATGATGCTGTACACCTGAAACTCATGTAAGGTTACATGTCAGCTGTAAATTTTAAATTAAAAAAATCAGTAAGTGAGGCCGTTCAGGCTTCCTCCCCTCCACAGATGCAGTTCCCTCCCAGCGCCACCAGATGGGGCTCGAGCACAGCGGAAGACCTGCACCCAGTCTTCCCGCCCAGACCCCAGCCAGCTCCGGCCTGAGCTACAGCGGGTGAGCAAAGCCCAGGTGTTCCCACTAGCTGAGGGCTTCTGGGCACGTCACTTCTCGAAGCTTCCATCCTTCCCCCCAAACGGGCAAGAAATGCAACTGAAAGAGACACTAGGCACCACTGTGCCTAATTAGCCTGGGAAGCAGTAGTAAGCCAGGGGCTGCCAGCGCGGCCCGGACTCGGGAAGGAAGCCCTGCCCACGCGGTGGGTCCCTGTGGCCCTCCCTGGCAGTCACAAGCAGACATCACGGGGACCGGCAGCTCCCCGCCTGGGCGGACCGGACTTCGAGGGTGTCCTGATGCTGAAGGAGTGGTTGGGTGCCCCCGGGAAGGTGCCCCCAGGTGTGGAAAAGCTGAGAACAGGGTGAGATGATGTGATACAGTGACCTTCATACGAACCAAATAGATGCAGACGGTGCACTGCTTCTGAGAACAGTGCAAATCCACTGGGACCACTGGGTGGGATGAGGGAGGGGGACAAAAAGAAGGAAGAGGGGAGGAAATGTGGGCGCCAATACCAGCTTCCTAGGGTTACTGTGAAAAGAAGAATCGAAGGGAAACCTACTGCCTCCAGCACGTCGTGGGCACCCGGTGAATTGCTCACGTCCGAGCGCCTCCTGTGCGTCGGGCAGTGTAACACAACCACGGACAAAGCAGACAAGAGGAATTCCTGCCACCGTGGCCCTGGCGTTATAGGAGCGTGTCTTAGTCCACAAACGACGAGATCGACTTTGTGCCGCTGCCTCGCCGGGCTGGCGGGAAGTTCCTTTCTAGGCACCGGGGGCGTCACCCGGAGCGGTCCACGGGGCGTGGGCGTCCACGCTGGTCCACGCCGAGTCACACCAGGCCGCAGCCCACGAGAGCCAGAGTGTCCCTGAAGGTGGGCCGCTCCACTGGACCGGCATCTGGCCAGGTTGCGTCCCTCTCCCTCGGGAAGGACCCTGCCACCCCCCTGGGCCATACACAAGCCCTTGCCCTCCTCCCCCGCCCACCAAACACACCCACAGATCCCCACTGTCTCCGGCCAGTGGGGCCGCTCTGCCCGCGGCTTCCCATCCGCCTCCCCCGGGACGCATTAGGCAGACTCCACTGGTCAGAGCAGGGCGAGTCCGTGGGAAACGGGCTCAGGGGGCCCCAAACCCCAGAGGGGAGCAGCTGGCAAGCCGCAGCTGTGGAAACAAGGAAGGGGCCCCACAGCGCCCTCGGCCCACGTGGAGGGAGGTGCCGGAGGGGGGCGTGAAGAC